ACTTTGGGCTTACCGTACCGCTTTCAAGACTCCATTAGGCATGTCTCCGTACCAACTTGTTTTTGGAAAATCTTGTCACCTTCCGTTAGAGTTGGAATATAAAGCATTTTGGGCTATTAAGGAACTTAATATAGATGCAACTCTAGCGGGAGAGAAAAGAAAGTTCCAACTCAATGAGTTGGAAGAGTGGAGGTACCAAGCCTACGAAAATGCCAAAATTTACAAAGAAAAAACGAAAAAGTGGCATGATCGTAGGAGCAATCAAAGAATTTTTTAGAAAGGTCAAAAAGTGCTCCTTTTTAATTCTAGGTTGAGGCTTTTCCCCGGAAAGCTCAAATCTAGATGGTCGGGACCTTTTACTATTGTCGAAGTGGGAAAATTTGGAACTATCGATCTTTTGAACCCACAAGACAATACGGTTTTTAAAGTGAATGGGCATCGGGTTAAGCATTTCTTCCCCGAAGAAATGCAAGATCCACGCCAAAAATCTCTTTGATAGACTGTTGAACTTTCTGTTGTAAATAGTGTAAATATTTTTTTTATTGTACTTCTTGTTTATTTCCAGCAGCTATGCTCACTGTGGGCATCTCGTGCTCACAGTCGGCAGTGGGTTTTGGTTATATATTTTTAAAATATTGGCGGGTCTTTGTGGATTTTTTTCCAGGGAAAAGAAAAGGAAAATAAGAAAAGCAATGAGGTTATTTTTGAAAAATGGTAATGATGGTTTTTATGACAATGGTGGCTTGTGTAAGGGATTTGACTAGTACCATGACATCATTTGTTTCACATCACTTGTACTATCAAGGACATTGCATGAAAATTGGGTGGTTTCCTATGTTTAACCCCATCGGTTACCTATGAAAAGGGGGGGAAAAAGACTTCACTTTTAGTTTTATGTTTTACTATTCACTTTCTTCTCTTTTTCTCATGGCGCGGACAAGAAATAACCCCACCGGCCGACCACCATTCCGACCACCTGCTCGACGCTCATCTCGATGGCCGACGACCGGCGACACTCCCGTTCTGACGTGGCATCCAGCAACACCTCTCTCGCCGGATCCCATTGCGTTCGCTCCACCAGCGCGGGAACCATCCACCACCATCACCGGACTACCCACCACCGTCACCGTCGATTACGACGAGTTTCACGCCGTCGTTACCCTGGTATGTATTGCTCCTACTCCTCCCCTATTCTCCACCGTTTTTACCCCATCCACCATAATACACACTAATCCAACCCCCGGTGCCGGTTAGTCTTCTGTGCGACCGCCGGCCGCCGTG